CTACCTGTGTGTGTACTTGTGTTTCTACCTGTGTGTGTACTTGTGTTGCTACCTGTGTGTGTACTTGTGTTTCTACCTGTGTGTGATGGTTCCAGTAGGATTGTTTTACTGGTGGAATGTCTTCATGTGGTGATTTATGTCTTTTGAAAATATCCACATGGTTTTTATTAGCTACAGGTATTAGTTAAAGTTTTTAACATAATGGAAAAGTGTCAATGTTTAAAGTATGTGTACATAAACTGTCTGGTAGAGATGAAGGGAGCAGCACTGATGAATGAATGAATGGAGGAGTTATTGTCAGTAATGGTTGAATATGTGAGTGTTTATTTCAGTTTTATTCTTTATATCTGTGGTGGCAATTTCTGTGAAACAAGCACAACAAGTCAAACCCTTGTTTCAATAGATTATGGCTTTGGACATGATGCTCACCAGCCAAGGAGGTGTGTGTTACATAATCTGGAGTGGTTGCTGCACATACACACATATTGTTTTTCATTTAATCGACCTCTTGACGCAGATTCCTGAAGGGTGGAATTGGTGGTCATAGTGAACTTTAAATGTGAAATTCAATTTGCTGACTCTCGTCTAGAATGAAATCCTCAATTTCAAGATGATGAGTGTGTCTAACAATGATTGTTGCTTAGTGAGCATAAAATGCTCAAAAGGGGAAAATGTGATGGACATTTTACATTTGTATAATTGCATGAGCAGACATGTATGTGGATCGTAGTAACTTATAACTGCTGAACTCTGATGATTTCTACATCTGCACGTGTTCTTGAACAAGAATTCACCTCTTTTAATCTTTATCCCAATTTTAAAAACAAGGGACGGGGGATTTAATGAGTGGTAACTATTCTTTTATCACTCAAATCTTCCTGATTACTTTCTCGTGGAGTTGATTCATTGCATTTTGTATGTGAGGCTTTGCGTTCTGTACGTCTTAGTCAGCTTCAGCAGATTTTTTTTATTTTTATTGCCACTCCTTGTGTGACTCAGCCTTGACACGCTTGCTTCATCATGACCAAGAAAATAACGTGTGGCTGATTTTGTAATATCTCGCATTCCTCGGTCGGTTTGGGCACGTCACAGAAATATGTGGCCTGGGGTCATGTGAAGTGTAGGTGAGCCATGTGTTTGAGATATGAACCATCAAATGAAGTGAACATTTACAGCTGCTGAGCTGTGATTCTGCGGAATAGAAGGTGTGACAGTTGATGTTTCATCTCGTCTGTGGAGTCAATGGCTGTGATAATTTGCCCTGAATCATTAGTATGTGGGCAGCTGAACTGCGGCATGTACAGTAGGTGTGGTGCCTTGCCCAAGGGCATTTTATTGGTCCAGACAAATGCACCATGGCAATTCTTTCATAGGACTCTAACTATAATTGTCATTATCACTCTTAATCAGTAAACTCCATGAAATGATTAATTACTTGATGTTGAAAATGTCAGATAACAAATTGCTTACTTTTGTTTTCTCAGTTGATTTGTTTTCTGTTCTCTGCTTTATTTTAAACGAGCTCTCTAACTCGATGTATTCGAGTTAAAATAAAGGTTGGATGAATTAAAACTTGCCAATGCCCAAGATAATCTACTTGTATGAATTCAGTTTACTGTCATATAAACGACACAGGACAGCATCTGTATTTTAATGTGTTTTCTTTAAAATGTACTTAAAATGGTTGATTATCAATATAGAGTAATTTTATTTTGATAAATGAACTGATGAATCGTTGCAGCTCTGGATAACAGAGTGAAATGCTCTTTAACCATTCAGATGAGGGGGGGTGCTCTGGTCTTAGCAAACTTTCACAACTTGACAAAGTATATAATGTTTGAAAAATCTTAGTTTTCTGATTCTGTCTAGGTGAAGAATTGTAGGATCTCTATTTCAAAAACAGCTATTCACAGGATAGAAGACCAACTTAGATTTTTACCTCGGTCTCAGTAATGATTAAATACATAATGAATCAACCCAAAGGAAGTTAACAATCGATTGAATTATTGATTTAGATTAATCAAAGACAATTTTGGAAACTGACCCTGATTTTAAAAAGCAGGGGACTGATTGATTAGTGTTTAAATGTCTCTCCTCACCGTGTTGATGGAGAGGAGGTGAAAGGGACACTCTCCAGAAGAGAGAAAATCAATTAATCAGAAACCCACTCGATCCTTTAATCAATTCTCTCAACTTGACACTTGACGGGCGCGACCTCAGGACGGCTGATCAGAGGTCAACTCCATCTGTCCTCAATCAATTCAATCACAACGACCCAATGAAAGGCTAATTTAAAGTTATGGGGGGTGCTCCCATTTAAAGATAATTGATTAGATTCTTCTGAGGCCAATGATCCTTTTCTTTCATTAAGACTTTGAGGGATCTTGTGCATCGTGGACGAGCATGGATGCACATTAATTGGCATTTTTCCCCTTTAATAGATTTTTGAGTGTACATAGCCAAGACAAGGGACGTTACCAGAACATCTGTGAGTCACAATCAGATTATAGAGAAATATTACGAGGCTCGAGGAAGAAAAACCCTCTTACTGACTGAGGTTGTGTGAGGTCACGCGGGGATTCGGCAGTTGGTGTAGAGAAATAAGGGCACAGCTGGGAATAGCAAGTGGATGGATGTGCCGCTTGGCAAGGTGCCCGATGTGACAGCTGATTTAATAAGGAAGGTCTTTTATCCTGCAGACGAACATGTCGCCGCTGCAGCCTTTCTAACAGAAGGGGGGGGCGGGGTGAGATCACTGACTGTCAGGAAAGCTGATTGTTCTGATTCTCCTCGACGCAATCTCACTCTGTCCATATTTTAAAATCCAAAAACCTTGAACGTGCTATAGATTAATCTAAAGACTTTTTACCTCCACCAAGGAGGCCATCTTGGTTTCCTCCCCAACTGAGCGTCCCCCCCTCCCCTGTCCCCTGCCGTCCTCCAGCCTGTGGCCTGAGTTAGATGGCGGTTGTGGATCGGACCTGAGGCCGATGGCACCAACTTTAAAAATGACAGCTGCCGATTTTTTCTCTCGCTTCTCCTCTTCCCCCGAATTTCCAACCCTGTGTTGTACAGAAGAGACTTAAGTTGATTATTGTGGATCTGAGTGTTCAGTTCTGTTTCTGTAAATGGTTCCAGAAATCAGTCCTGATATCCGTGAGGGGAAAAATCAACTAGTTCAAAGAGGTTAAAGTTAAGAACACAAAACTAGAATTTGCCTGATCATTATAATTGTTTTCATCAAGATGAATTATTCTGTGGGAGTTTAATGAAAATGCCGAACAACGCCCTGTGTCACAATGTTAAAGATAGTGAGAAAGAATTCCTGGATCCGCCCTCTGATCTGGATCCACACCAAAATGTCATGGGTTCTTTCCTCATCTCCTTCAAAGTGAAAAAACGAAATAATAAAATATCCCCTGGGTTATCGATGAAAACTATGTAGCCATGATAAAGTGAAAAGGAATTCTGGATCTATGACTTGGTTTGGTTCTGCCCCAAAACATAACAAGTTCATTCTCGACCTATGTCCAGTCCTTGTTACCAAGTTTCATTGAAATCGGTTATCGGTAATCCTGCTGACAAAACAAACACGGGGGACGATATAACCTCCGCAAAATATCAAATATTGATGATTTTAAAGGCAGATGAACGTGTTTTTCCTCATCACAGTCTCACCCTCTACCTGATTAAAGTCTAATTCACATCCTCATTATAACCTGTAACCCACGTCCTGGTCCTGAACACGTTAATGAGGCAGGGCCGACTAAATGTCCTTACTCAGGAGGATTTATCTCATCTTTCTATTATCATGAGGACAACACACACACACATGCAAACATCCTCCAGAGTCAAGTGAATTATCCACTCACCCACTTTCTCTCTCTCTCCCCCCCCCCCCCCC